AGTTTGGCTATTGTGGACATTGCTGCTATAAACATCGGGGTGCAAGTACCCCTTTGGATCCCTCCATTTGTATCTTTGGGGTAAATACCCAGTAGTGCAATTGGGTCGTATGGTAGCTCTATTTTCAACTTTTTGAGTAACCTCCATACTGTTTTCCAGAGTGGCTGCACCAGCTTGCATTCCCACCAACAGTGTAGGAGGGTTCCCCTTTCTTCGCATCCCCGCCAATATCTGTCATTTCCTGACTTACTAATTTTAGCCATTCTGACTGGTGTGAGGTGGTATCTCATTGAGGTTTTGGGTTGTATTTCCCTGATGCCAAGCAATATTGGAAGAACAGTTTTTATGCCCTCTAAAGCCAACAGTTTTATTTGTAGAAAGAATACCAGGAACAAATCTAAGGTCCAACAGAATCTCTTGGTGGAACCATGGGCACTCACCAAACAAAGGAAAAGGTAGTTATAAGATACTGAGGAAGGGTAGAGTTTAGATGAAATGTAAATGAAGCAATGAGAGTTAGGCTGAAAGCAAATCTATCCGATCTAGACCACATAGTGGACACAGGTTCCTGTTTCCTGAAAGCATTGAATTTGAAGTTGATGTGTAGGGTGTTGTGTCCATTCCATTATTCAAAGCTCTGCATCTGGGATGTAAATCAAGGCTGCCTCTTTGTGTTAAAAGTAACTTAAATCCTCCAGGCAAGCATGGAATGTTTTATTCTTACTGATGCCATTTCATAAGTCCAAAGGTTCTAATCGTCTCTGACACAGAAAAGTGAGTAGGAAAGTAGAAGTCATTCAGAGGAAGAGGCTGTTTTGCCACTTTATAGCTGCAACCTGTCATTGGGAGAAATACTGTTTTCTGTTAGCTGCATCTGGCTTTATCTATATCTGTTATTCTAGCCTGATGAGTGGATGTACAGATTTTTACTTTCTCAGAATTTGTTAAAGAAAACCTAAGCTACAGCTGCAGGGTTGTTTTTCATAGCTATGATTGTAATTGTGAAAAAATTGGAAGTAAACTTTTAACTAAATCATGATATATCTGTAAGATTAGATACTATATAGCCATTAAAAACTATGTTGTAGAAGAATTCTTAACCTGAAACTTGTGAATCCTCTGAAATTAGATATAAAATTTTATGTTTGTGTGGATATTTTTTTTTTCTAGAGAGGAAATCCATAGCTGTAATGAGTTTCTTAACTCAAAAGGCAAAATATTTGGCTTTTAAACTCTGTCGTTAATCCATTGTCTGCCTTTAATCCAACACTGTCCAGTAGAATTTACTGTGTTTATGGAGATGTGCTATTTCTTTGCTGTCCGGCGTGGTGCCGTATGTAGCTGTGGGGCACTTAAAATCTGGCTAGCGAGGAACGGGGTTTTTCATTTTAATTAATTTTAATATAGATAGCCACATGCAGCTAGTAATTACCATATTTTGGATAGTTTTAGGCAAGTCACTTTATCCTTTTGGTCACCTCAGGTCTAAAGTGAAGGGAGTTTTGTATGTGAAGAAATCTTGGGGCTCATCTAGACTTGTCTTCTCTAAGTTGGGGGCAGTGGCCCTTGTGAGAAAAAGTACTTTTATCTAGTTCTAAAATTCTGAGCATCTGTGTATGGACCTTGGTAATAATACTGATATAATCCCTGATGACAGTAATAGTGTAGTTCTCACACTTAGTATTATTTCTGGAACACTAATTCAACTTACTTTGCTGTGTGATTTGTGTAGTTAGAGGTGGGCGAACTGTGGCCTGTGGGGCAAATCCCAGCTCAAATGCCAGTTTATGTAGCCATAGCCCGTGACCTAGGAATGGTTTTTATATGTATAAATGACTGAGAAAAGAACCGAAAGAAGAAAATCTTAGGACGGTTACATGAAATTCAAATCCCAGTGTCCATAGATAAAGTTCTGCTGGAACACAGCCGCATTCATTCACTTGCCTTGTCTCTGGCGGCTTTTGCAGCTCAGTGGCAGGGGTGAGTGGTTACAACAGGGACCGTAGAGTCTACAAAGCCGAAAATATTTATAAAATGGCCCTTTATAAAAATCGTTGCTGATGCCTGGTATAGATGATCTCTGAAAATGAGTTAGATACTGATTTGCAAAAGAAATTGAGGTTAACAGGAGTGAGGTGATGTAGTCCAAGTCACACAGCCCCAAAGTGGCAGAGAGCATTTTTATACTCAGGCCTTTTTCATTTCAGAGGCAACTCCTCCTAACCCATGTACCAGGACAGGCTGTGATGTGATTGTTGTATATATTTTAGATTTGATGAATTTGATGAAGCAATCGATGAAGCTATAGAAGATGATATCAAAGAAGCTGATGGAGGAGGTATGTGTTTATCATTCCCTGTTCTTCGTATGACTTGGCCAATAGGTTAACTTAAAATGCCCAGAGTTAGGGGCACCTGGCTGGCTCAGTCAGTAGAGCATGCGACTCTTGATCTCAGAGTTGTGAGTTTGAGCCCCATGTTGGGCATAGAGATTACTTAAAAACAAAACAAAGCAAAACACTGATTAGGGAGTAAGCATATTTTTTTTTTTTTTTTATTCTCTACTGATGTTAAATGTCTGAGATTCAAAATAATTTGTGGACATTGTGTCAATGTGTAGACTCAGATCTTATTAATTATTTTTCAAGTAGTTTTATGACCTGATATAAAATCTAAGTGTTCCTCTGTAAATTAAAAAAATTTATTTCTGCTTCCAAATAGAAAACCCACTTAAACTTTCTTGTTGTTTATGTTTAGATCACTGCTGCTACAAAATCTTAAAAATTATGGATAATCTGAATCTAAATGATTGCTTTAGATCAACCTTTTAAAAATCACTTCATTAATTTCATAGTCTTTAACAGGTGACATGAAAACAGAAGGATTTGAAGGTAATTTAATGAAAGAGCGATACAGAGAATTACCAGTGCTCCAGTATGGAGCATTGTGGTCTCCTTTAGTACTTAGGAAAACTCTGAAGAAGATCAGTAGTAAGTAGGCTGTGTGAAGAAGTCACCAGCTTTTCCAGGGCTCTGCACCTTATTTACAGCTTTGCTGCAGGATTCTCACCTTTTCTGTCCTGCACACACAGTTAAAAGAAAACGGATTGGTCTCTTTCTAAAGCCCTGTCCAAAAGACAACTTTGAAGAAGAGATTCTTGAGTGATTGCCGATAGGTATGAGGTTTCCTTCGAGGTTGATGAAAATGTTCTGGAATTTGTTAGTGGTGATGGTTGCACAACTTTGTAACTACTGAAAACCTCTGAACTATACACTTTAAAAGGGTGAATGTTATAGTATGCAAATTTTATCAAATTTTTTAAAAAGAGGTTCTTTACGTGGTGAACTTCCCCTTAGTAGACTAAACACATGCAAAAAGTCTCTTGATGAGAGCTCTGTTAGCTGAAGTTATGAGAAAACTGCTTATTTGTAGGAAAAAAGTAAATGAGCCGCTAAGGAGGAACAAGGACAGCTCTATCTAGAGAGAAGCTTTTAATAAACGTACCGTTGTCTTTCTTCCTCCCTCTCTTCCCCTCATCGCCCTCCCCTTCCCCCCTGAACTCAGGAGCCGGCCGAGGGAAAGATATCTCCACCATCACAGGTCACCGTGGGAAAGACATCTCTACTATTTTGGATGAAGAAAGAAAAGAAAATAAACGACCCCAGAGGGCAGCTGCTGCACGTCGGAAGAAACGCCGGCGACTGAATGATCTGGACAGTGATAGCAACCTGGACGAAGAAGAGAGTGAGGATGAATTCAAGATCAGCGACGGGTACGTGGTTTGCCAGCAGGTCCCATTCCCTAGATACAGGCTTAAATGGGGCTTGCAGAGAAGCTCGGCCATGCCGTGACGGGCCTTTGGTTCCTCGTGCACATGGACGATCTCTTTTTATTTTCAGGCTATTTAAAACAGATTCAAGAATGCTAATCTTAGCTATTTTTAGATCAAAACAAAGTAGGCTTATGGTTGTTTAATATTCAAAATTGTATTTACATTTGATTAACTGGAATCAAGCATTCATTTGCTGTGCATCTCCATGCCATCTTCCGCCAACATGTCCATGAGAGGTTCCTAGTCAAATGTGAGAATTAGACAAGTACAGGTAATTAGGTACTATTCTCTGGTGACCCACAGAGGTTTGGGTTGGGGCACGTAATCCAGTTTGGAAGATCGGGAAAGATTTTCCTGCAGAGCAGGTGTTGAAACAATACTGCAGAGTTTCTTCTCTCAGATTGTTAGTGGGAAAAACAAACATGTAAACCACAAAAAAGTCATTCTGTGTGATTGCTGCAAAAATGTAGGAAAGCCTAAATAGTGTATAAAGGAAGAGTCTGATTAGAGAGTTCATGGAAAGCCTTAGAGTGGAAATAAAGCTTGATCTGAAATTTGAAGATGAAAAATTGGGCAAATTCAGTGAGTTTGAGATTCAAAGTGGGATGAGAAAGAGGGCAGGCATCCTAAGAGCAGTCACGTGTTGAAGGCAGCAAGGCATAAGACATCATGGAATATTTAGGAAACTCCTGGATTGTCAGAGTAGCAAGAATATGGGGAAGAAGTAAAGAGTGCCCAGCTGGAGATGTGGCTAAAAGATAAAATGGAACCAGATGATGGAGCGATTTGTTTGTCATGCATGGGAATTTGGAATCTTACCCTGAAGATGATGAAAGCCCATGGATGGGTTTTAACCATCCGGCTAATGAGGTTTATGTTTCAGAAAAATTCATCCTGGCATTCTTTTGGAGGCTGTCTCGAGGGGAAATGAGTCTAGAGACTAGAGGGACTCCCTGGGCAGTTGCTGTGGTAGTTTAGGTGGGAGATGAGTGCCCGACAGAGAAGAGGGATCAGGTTTGAGATATTATCTTTAAGAGGTTGACTCAGAGAGGAAGCTAATAATTGATTAGATGTGAGAAATGAAAAGGGAGAAATTAGGAAAAATACCAGGTTTCTGGTTTGACTTACTGGATAGGTAATAGTTCCAAATATAAGGCTCGGAGACAGAAGAGAGGATTAGGTTAGGAAATGAGTTCTCTTTGGGACATGTTAAATTTAAGTCATGTGGGGGACATCCCAGGACGCCAAAGCAATTTATGTACAAAAATCAGCATCAGTTCATCTTAACTCCTCCTAAGAGAAGAATATTAACAGACAAATTGCTACAATTATCTAGGTATTTTACATTAACCATTACTGAATGATTCACTGGACTTGTTAGAATTTGAACTCAGAATCATAATTCATCTGGTTTCTCTTGGACAGATCTCAAGATGAGTTTGTTGTATCTGATGAAAACCCAGATGAAAGTGAAGAAGACCCACCATCTAATGATGACAGCGACACTGATTTCTGTAGCCGGAGACTGAGGCGACATCCCTCCCGGCCAATGAGGCAAAGCAGGCGTTTGCGGAGAAAGACCCCAAAGAAAAAGTACTCTGATGATGATGAAGAGGAGGAGTCTGAGGAGAATAGTAGAGACTCTGGTAAAAATAATTTGTACCTGTATCACACCAATTCAGTTCTTAGAACTTCTGGAGTTAAGAGGGTTTGTTTTTTTTTTTTTTTTTTTAAGATTTTATTTATTTGACAGAGAGAGACACAGCGAGAGCAGGAACACAAGCAGGGGGGGAGTGGGAGAGGGAGAAGCAGGCTTCCTGCCGAGCAGGAAGCCCGATGTGAGGCTCGATCCCAGGACCCTGGGATCATGACCTGAGCCAAAGGCAGACGCTTAATAACTGAGCCACTCAGGCGCCCTAGAGTTAAGAGTTCTTAAGATAAAATTTCATTCATTTGTAATATAAGCTTTCCAATAAAACTTTGAATTCTCTTCTTATGACTCACTAGTAACTAAATTTTTCACATAAAACATATCTAAGAAAATAAATACAGATGGATGTGTTAACTGCATACCAAATTCATTTAGGATTGTGATGAATTCTTTTTCTTTCTTCCTTCCTTCCTTCCTTCCTTCCTTTCATCCTTCCTTTGACAGAGATCACAAGTAGGCAGAGAGGCAGGCAGAGAGAGAGGGGGAAGCGGGCTCCCCACTGAGCAGAGAGCCCGATGCGGGGCTCGATTCCAGGACCCCGAGATCATGACCTGAGCCGAAGGCAGACGCCTAACCAACTGAGCCACCCAGGCAACCCTGTGATGAATCCTTTTGGTGCCAAGTTTCCATGCCTAGACTTTATCTTCATAATGTTTCTTTGGAATCATTCTCAGTAAGCTGAGAACATTTTTCTCAGATATCTAGCAGTTGGAAAGAGAAGGTTCACCAATTATTTTTAACACTTAGATCACTATCAGTGAGTGATTCATTCATTTTTGTAAATTAGCAATAGTGATGTTCTTATATTTTATGCTTATTTCTATTAACTGAATAAATAGTGACAGGCAGAGCATCTAAAAAAACAGCTAGGAGTACTTTGTAGAATTGGCTACAGGTAGCTGTCCTCTCACTGAGGAAATGTCACAGCCAGGAAGGAGTGTTACATCCTCTACCTGGCTGGGCTTATGGGTTTTTTGTTTCATATATCATATAACCATAGTAGAATTATCAAAATCAGATATTTTAAAACATTGAGGGGTGTCTGGGTGGCTCAATCGGTTAAGCATCTGCCTTTGGCTCAGGTCATGATCCCAGGGTCCTGGGATCGAGTCCCGTATCGGGCTTCCTGCTTGGCAGGGGAGTCTGCTTCCCCCTCTCCCCCTGCTCGTGCTCGTTCTCTCTCAAATAAATAAATAAAATCTTTCTTTAAATAGATAAATAAAACATTGGTATACTACATTTATCTAATTAACAGTATATATTCATATTTCATCAGGTGTCCCAAAATTGTCCTTTATATCAGTTTTTTTCCTAGTCCAGGATCTAATCCAGGAGTACACATTGCATTTATTCCTGTCTCTAGACTCCTTTAATCTACAATATTCCTCAAACTGTCTTTATTGATCCTGACATTTTTGAAGAATATATACTAGTTAATTTGTAAAATGTCCCTCAATCAGGGTTTTTTTTGCTTCCTGTGATTAGATTCAGTTTATACATTTTTCAGCAAGAATATCACAGAGCTAATATATGTTCTCCGGGTCTCCACTATTTTTCCCTTTATAATTAACAGTAATTTGTAGGAGCGCATTTTGAGACTATATATATACCATTTCTTTTCAGATGTTTCACCCATAGTTTTAGCATTCATTGATGATTTCCTGGCCCCATAATTCCTTTTATATTTATTATTTGGTGTTCCTTAAGAAAGCGCTTTCCCTTCTCCCCCATATATTTATTTCTTTATATTAGTATGTACTTGTGGATTCTTATTTTAGTCTGTGGATATAATATGTTATTGCTGTGTAGGCTCAGTTTTTCCCAGATTTGGCCAGTAGGGACTCCTTCAGACTGTTGGTGAGCCATTTTGAAGTGTTTGAAATTCATTAGACAATAAGGCTGGATGTGATAATTTGGTGGAATTTGTTAGCACTCCTGAAAAACTGCTCTAACCCAATGTCATAGTCTCTTGTTTACTAATCAGAGATGGTATGGATGGTGCTGTTTGACAACACTTGGAGAATTGAAGTGGGCCCCGTATGCTGTAGTTAGCAGATTTTATTTCCATATGGAAAAAAGCCAAAAATGTAACTCTAATTCTGTACTTCTTTGAAACAGGTATATCAGTTTTCTGGGATTAGAGATTTTAATCTGTGCAGTACATTGTGAAGTTATAACTGTACCACACATCTGTACACATAGGAGCAGCAGATTATTTTGAGGCAGAATAGTAACCAAATAGTAACCAAGAAGAGCAGCCCATGTAGCTGGCTGGGTAGCTCTAGGTGGAATGAGATAAAGATTGTATAAAACATCTTTTACTGTCTTTTTTTTTAAAGATTTTATTTATTTATTTGACAGAGAGACACAGCGAGAGCAGGAACACAAGCAGGGGGAGTGGGAGAGGGAGAAGCAGGCTTCCCGCTGAGCAGGCAGCCCGATGCGGGGCTCAATCCCAGGACCCCGGGATCATGACCTGAGCCGAAGGCAGACGCTTAACGACTGAGCCACCCAGGTGCCCCTAAAACATCTTTTACTTTCAGACACTGGCTGCTAATAGGAAACATTAGGAACTTTGGCGTTAAAGACTCCTACGCATTTACTTGTACTATTAAGAGGAAAATAAGAGACTTATAGCGGCGCCTGGCTGGCTCAGTCAGTAGAACATGCGACTCTTGGTCTTGGGCTTGTGAATTTGAGCCCCATGTTGGGTGTGGAGCCTACTTAAAAAAGAGAGAGAGGGGCGCCTGGGTGCTCAGTCATTAAGCATCTGCCTTCGGCTCAGGTCATGATCTCGGGGTCCTGGGGTCGAGCCCCACATCGGGCTCCCTGCTCGGTGGGAAGCCTGCTTCTCCCTCTCCCACTCCCCCTGCTTGTGTTCTCTCTCTCGCTGTGCCTCTCTCTGTCAAATAAATAAATAAAATCTTTAAAAAAAAGAGAGAGATTTATAGCCATTATTATTAATTTAAAAATTGTTATTACTGAACCCCACTTATTAAGAGCTTTACATTTTTATAACCTAAGCTAATTACATTTCTCTTTAATAGACTTAAATTTTGTATTTCTTTTTCCTTGAACAGAAAGTGATTTTAGCGATGATTTTAGTGATGATTTTGTAGAAACTCGGCGGAGGCGGTCAAGGAGGAACCAGAAAAGACAAATTAACTACAAAGAAGATTCCGAAAGTGATGGTTCCCAGAAGAGTTTACGACGTGGGAAAGAAATCAGACGAGTTCACAAGCGCAGGCTTTCTAGCTCAGAGAGTGAAGGTAAGGAGTAGCTCTCCCGTTTACAGAAGTTTGGACAAGGCAGAAATAGAAGCTATAAAGTAAACTCAGGATTGTGGTTCTGTACCATTTCATAGAAATTCAGTATAAGTAGTGATATCTTCGAGACAAAATCCATTATTTTTTGCCTGATCCCTTTTTATAGTTTAAATAAATGATACTTGATAAGATACTAATTTTTAATGTCTCCATTGTAATAATTAAACTCTTCATTGAAATAGACAAGTCTCAGAAAATTAAGATCTGAGCAAGAATTCTTCTGCTCCCTTATTATTCACAGCCCTCATTTTGAGATAACTTCTGCCCTGGATAACTAAACAGTTTGAAATACAGGGCCCTGCTGTCTCTTTCCACCTTGACAGTGAGCTTCAGTTGGTAACTTTTATTTCTTAATAGTTTTAGCTGTGCTCCATACCAGGAGTGTAGGAAAAGCTCTAAAATACGAATTTGTGATAGCCATTCAGTCTTGTGGTTATTCTAGTTCTTTTAAATGATTCTAACCCTCACCTCTGCCCTTTTTTTTTTTTGACTTATACAATCCTCCATTATTTATGATCTGTTTTGAAGATTTCTAAGATGCTTATCAGTTAAGTTTGAGCCCAAGCCAGGAAATCAAGGGAAAAAAATGTTTGAACATGGGAGGCTAAAGAAAGGGGATGAACATCTGATTGTGTATTTACCTTCATGTGTCATTAAAGACAAACAAATCCAGTAATTCAGCTACTAAAAACAAATTCTTATTGCACTAGTCACTATTTTGGCACTGCGACTAAAAGAGTAAACAAAAGAGCCAAAAACATGTAACTCCCGTGTAAACTCTTATTTTAATTAGAGGGAGAGATAATAAACAAGATAAGTAAGTAGAACCTACGTGGTATTAGGTGGGGATAAATGCTGTGGAGAAGAATAAAGGAGAAAGAGGAGTTGGGTAGGGATAGTGGCTGGGATCTCAGACAGGGCACCACAGGAACGCCTCACCAAGAAGACCACATTGGAGTAAAGACCTGACATAATGTTGGGTGTGTGTCATGCCTTTGTCCTAAGGCCGAGTGATACAGGCAGATGGAGCAACTAGCATGAAGGCCTGGAGGCAGGTTTGTGCCTGGTGTGTTCAGGAACAGAGAGGAGGCCAGGGTGGTTGAAGGAGAATGAGCGAAGGGAAGAATTGCATGAGACGATGCAGAGATCAACAGGGGTCCCATCACAAAGAGCAGTAGGCCGCAACTACAGCCCACCTGTCTGTAGTCAAGTTCTGTTGGACCAGCCATGCCCGTGTTTCTCACATACTGCCTGTGGCTTCTTTTGTGCAAAGCTGAGTCAGTTGTATTAGAGACTGTAGGGCCTGCCCTTCTACAAAAAAACAAAACAAACAAATTGCCAACCCCTGATGAACCGTGCCATCTGGTTGAACTTTCTGTGGTGATGGAAACAGGCTATATCTGTGCTGTTCCGTATAGTAGCCAGTGGCCTCTCATGGGGCTGTTGAGCACCTGTAATGTGACTGGTATGACTGAGGAGCCGAATTTTTAATTTTTATTTAATTTTAATTCATACAAATTTAAAAATAGCCACATGTGATTAGTGGCTACCATATGGGATAGCGTGGTAGGCTGTTGTAGAGTTAGAAACTTTGGATTTTATTCCTTGTGAGAAGAGAAATAATTGGAGTTTGAGCAGAGCAGTGATATGATCGGACCTATATTTTAATTTGCTATGGTAGCTGTGTTATGAATAAATTTAAGGGGACAAGGGCAGAGTCCAGGAGACCCATTGGGAACCCACTGAAAGAGGCCAGGTGAGAAATGATGGTTGGTGAGACTAGGGCAGTGGTAGTGAAGGGGTGAAAAGCAGTCAGATTATGGCTCTATTTTGAAGGTAGACTCAAAGGATTTACTGTTTGGTTAGATGGGAGAAAGAAAACAATCAAAATATGACTAAGGAATTAGAACAGTAGAGTTGCTAGTAACTCAGATGGGCAAGACCAGAGCAGTGCATGTTTGAGGCAGAAGTGTAGGACCTCGGTTCTGGACATGTTAGGTTTGAAATGCCTGTTTAGAAATGCCAGCATAGATGTTGAGTAGGCAGGTTGTTGATAACATGAGTCTGGAATTTAGGGGTGGCCTAAAACAAATGTGAGTCATCAGCATATAGATGCAAAGCCATGAGATGAGGAGAGACAACCTAGATGTAAATACAGACAAAAAGAAGACATTTAAAGACTACCAAGGAAGGACATTTAATAACATGGGTTAAGAGTTAGCGCACTGTTTCAGATGCCCAGAGTTGGGTACTCAGTTTAATCTTTCCTTATCAGTATGTGTACATGATTCCATAATTGGAGAGACAGTGGATAGGAGTTTCTCAGTTTGTGACTACCCTATCTTCATTTAATTTAAGGATCATCATATTTATTTTCTAAGAAATGTGATTTTGCTCTTTCCTAAAATCTGAGTTAAAAAACACACTATAGATCTTTCTGTGGATTGTTACAGGCCTGAGAGGAGAGAGCAATCAGGCCAATTATTGGAGGGAAATAGGATGCACGGGCAAGTCCGAAAGCAGGATATGGGGTGAATATGGGGAGGAAAGGGGAAATTACTTCAATCTGTTATGGTTAACTGTATCGCTGGCTGAAATGTGCTGTTTATTCTAGAGAGCTATATGTCCAAGAACTCTGAAGATGATGAGCTAGCTAAAGAATCAAGGCGGTCAGTTCGAAAGCGGGGTCGAAGCACAGATGAGTATTCAGAAGCAGATGAGGAAGAAGAAGGCAGACCATCTCGAAAACGGCTACACCGGATCGAGACAGACGAGGAGGAGAGTTGTGACAATGCTCATGGAGATGCAGATCAGTCTGCCCATGACAGCCAGCCCAGGGTCCTGCCCTCAGAACAGGAGAGCACCAAGAAGCCCTATCGGATAGACAGCGATGAGGAAGAGGACTTTGAAAATGTAGGCAAGGTGGGGAGCCCTTTGGACTATAGCTTAGTGGACTTGCCTTCCACCAATGGACAGAGTCCTGGCAAAGCCATTGAGAACTTGATTGGCAAGCCAGCTGAGAAGCCTCAGACCCCCAAGGACAACAGCACAGCCAGTGCGAGCCTGGCCCCCAATGGGACAAATGGTGGGCAGGAGGCAGGGGCACCAGAAGAGGAGGAAGATGAGCTTTTAAGAGTGACTGACCTTGTTGATTATGTCTGTAACAGTGAACAGTTATAAGACTTTTTTTCCATTTTTGTGCTAATTTATTCCACGGTAGCTCTCACACCAGCGGGCCAGTTATTAAAAGCTGTTTTATTTTTCCTAGAAAACTCCACTACAGAATGACTTTTTAGAAGAAAAATTTCAACAAACCCTGAAGTCTTTCTGTGAAGTGACCAGTTTTGAACTTTGAAGATAAATAATTGCTGTAAATTCCTTTTGATTTTCTTTTTCCAAGTTCATGGTCCTTGGCAATTTCATTCATGGAAAAAAATCTTATTATAATAACAACAAAGATTTGTATATTTTTGACTTTATATTTCCTGAGCTCTCCTGACTTTGTGCAAAAGGGTGGATAAGAATGCATTCCGAATCTGTGCGGGCCCAAAACAGAATTAGGGGTGGGAGAAAGCACTTGTGCTTTAGCTTTTTCATATTAAATATATATTATATTTAAACATTCATGGCATAGATGATGATGAACAGACTGTTTAAAAGTTCCAGTCTGTATTGTTGCAGTTTGAGAACTGTAGATGACATCGTACATAAGTCATTCAGTAACAGCATTCATGATATCAACTTGTTTACTATTGGAGTTAACCACACTTAATAAAGAAGAGATGGAGAAAGCACCATCATTAAAAACTCTAACCTGAGTTTCTGTTATAGCGGAGTTTCTTATTTAAAAAAAAAAAATCATCTGAAGAACATTTGTACAGTAAAATGTATAATGAAGCTTTGACAACCAGATTGTGCTAGCAGCAAATTTTTTTAAGCAGCTTTATGCAGTGGTGATGAGGTGGCCTCTAATATCCTATCCATGAGAGTTATTAGTGAAATAAGTGTGGTCTTTCTTTAGGCCCAGGTGGACTGTAAACTTTGCAGATAGTGTAACTCTTGTCTTCTGGCCACTTAATATTTAAATATCTGAAATATCCCATTTTGAAAGAAATACATCTATACATAACATACATGAAGAGATGCTAAGCTGACAGCAGTATTTTAGCACATTTGATGACGGGGAAAGGATTTTCAGGTGAATTTTAACTGGTCTATTCTTGCCCTTAGTATCTACTTCAAATTGAAGTCTACAAACAAAGCAGTTCCTTTGGGAGGTTTTTAGTTTGAGTTTTAGCATGTATGTGTGTGTATACGTGTGTGTGTATGTGTGTGCGTTGGAATTTCCTATCTGCCTGGATATATTAGCAGGGTTTGAATGTAGTTTTGGCCTTTGGCCATTAGACTTCTATTAAAATTCATTAATAGTCACACGACCAACCTAGAGTTGATTGAGAACCGCCAATATGCTTAATGGGCATGACATCCATTTCAAACATCTCAACACTTCAGTGAAAGATAAGCCCTTTGTTTCAAGAAAAAGGGGTTTATAACTAAATATCTAACATGTAATTGACACTAAAATATGAACTTTGTCTTATTTAGTTACTGTTACAGCTGTAAAATTTCAGGCAGAGCCATAAATAACATTGTATAAAGTGTAGCACTTGTGATTAAACCTTGCCTGTCAAATTCTGAAACCTTCAGCCATTACTTCTGTGAATACTTTTGCCCTGGGATTTGGGTTTTTCTGTTCCGGTGTTGTGTCTGTTGCCGGCAACGGACACACCATATCTGCTGCTGGCCCAAGGAACTTTGTTAATTTTTCTTTCCAAATTAAGCATTATATGTGCTAGTCAGTGTATAGTAAAGCACTTCTCTTTTTTATGATTAAAAAGCTGGCATTAGACTTGCATTATAAATACCTCTCTAGAAACTTTATACTCCTTCTTTTCCTTCCTCAACGGGTGTTGCCCTTAAATCTTATCTTTCGGCCTTGAAAGTTTATAGCTGTTGTTTTTCATTTGTTGGTTCTTTTGTTTGTTTTGTTTCACTTTAGTTGTGTAGTACCTGCCCATTAATATTTTTGCTTTGATTCTAGCAATGTATATGTATCTGTATAAAAAATAAAATAATGAAAGCAGCCTAAAAATAGGATGCACCAATAGCATGTGGTTCCAAGCAAGTTGTGATTTTTATTTTGAGACAATGTTCCACTGGAAGGGAGGGAAGGGCTTACACTTACAGACAGTAGAGCAGGGTTACGTAAGGACCATATTCACGTACCAAGCCACCTTTCTAGCCAGATTTGTTCACTTGTTTGAAAGTCAGGTAAGAATGTTAGCGAGCCTTTTTAACTGTCTTAACAGGCAGGCAACAGAAGGATTCCTACTAGTGCAAGGTAAGTGTTTAGAACGTGCGGGCGGCCTCCCCTGCCCCCCCGTTGTTCCTCTAGATTTTAGTCCTGCAGCTGGGTAAAGCCACTACGGTGTAGAAACTCCCACGTACGCTGTCTCTACCTCTGGACACACCACCTCCTGCTTCCACCACTCTATAGTTAAGCAAGTGGTAAGACGTATCCAATGGGGTAGATTATTTATTTTACAGGATGCCTAATGTGAAATAAAGGAGTTCTTTTTACCCTTCTCCTACAGAGAGCAAAAGGTCATTGTTACCATAGTAAAGACTGAGTATTCAAGTTAGCATAGGTCCCACTGACATGGGTTATGATACCACTTTTGCTGCCTATTAATTTACCGAACTTGAATTAAGTATTTGTGAACTTGATAGTGAATGTCTGCCTTCTAACCTTACATTCTGATTAAGCCAATTAACTGTTTCATCTACAAAGAGTGCAATCCAAGCAGCTGAACTTAAAAATTACTATGCAGACAGGTTAATTATGGGCAGTTAAATGTTGGACAGTGCAAAACCAATTCTGCTGCTTGGTGATTAGATTTAGTCCCTCATAAAGTCTTAACGTTCACTGAAATATTAACTGATCATGCTTTGAAGAAATTTTTAAAAATGTAGGAAAAAGTAAATGGTCCTGTATCCAAAGATATAATTCAGTCATTAGGAACTGGACAGAGTATAGGAAAGCAGCAGCTCATCTAGAGTTTAGAACACCTTGGATCCTTAGAGTACTAACCATGGATTTAGATGCATCCGTAGCTGCCGTATAATACAGTCCTTTAATACTTTAAACCTTTTTTGAAATACAGGTGGACTCCCAATGTCCCACTAACAGTCTAGCACATGTATTAAGGGGAGATGTAGTTTAGTGCACAGAATATTTAGTTTGCAATTTCTGTATAAGTTTGAAAACTAGCCAAATGTTCACAAAGCAGAAGCTTTGAATTAAAATATATGAAAGGAACTCAGACTGAAAATACACATTTTGGTTTTGTAGACTTGTGTCAATGAAATAGGGTGTCGTGTAAAACATTTTCCGTTGTTGGCACGTTATTAGATAATGATGGCAGAGAGCTTTTCAAGAGTTTACCTGATACAGTGAGGTTGGATTTCCTTGACACATCTTTTTCCAGTTGGTCAAGGTTGCAGATGCAGAGAATACAGAGGAGTTTCATTTAGAATAAATTCATGTCTATTGATAGTCTTTTTTTTTTTTTTTTAAGACCTGCCAAAGAACCAAGGACTGAATGCTAAAGAAGTTGTTGAAAAAAACATTTTTAAACAAATTTTAAAAGGATATTACAAACTCCAGTTTTCACTTTTTGGTTGCTAGAGCCCATCCCATAGTATGCATCTAAGCAAAGTATATATACTAAGACAAATGTAGGAGTGTACTTGTTTAGAGGTAAAATGGTGAGAAAATGTTACCAGTTTTTAAATGGGTTTGATAGAATTTACTTTGTCACAAAGAATGCCTTTTTAGCTTATGTTTGTGGCGATGAGAGATGTTAACCATGCGCTAGTTCTACCATATGACTGGAAGGAACCCAGGGAATCTGTAAGTTGAATACTCAGAAAAAGTTGTGAACTCTGCCCTTCACCAACACAGTGAAACAAGTCCGTGATTGCCTCACAGCTATAGAACAAGTATTCAAAGACCCAGATCTTTTTTAAAAAATAGAACATGCATATATGTATGTATATATATGTTAGTATGTGTATACATACTTTAGATGTTAGCAGAAATTAAGAATGAATCCTTTGAAATCATTAATTGACATTGTAAAAAGACATAAGACAATTGTGACTGATGTGAAATTACGAACATTTAATTACAGAAAGTCCAGAGAAAAATAGTGAAGTTCCTCTTCTTGGTTTGATATTCTAAGAAAATATTCCTGGTTCTCTAAGAAGTAAGAATGCCAAGACTGCTTATCTGCTATAGTCTACCTAGTCCTCTGCTTAATATTGTTATTAAACCCTCTTAGAATAAAATCCATTCCTATTTTATCCACCATTCCCAGTGTGTACCTGTAAACCTACTTTGCAAGTGGCAGTTCAGCTGCTGATTTTCTTGTTTTTATACCAATCCCAGAAGACAAGGCCCTTTGCTATCAGTGTATTTAAACTGGGTTATTGTGTTATGTGTACACTTAATAAGTTGTTTTCAAGATATTTCACTTCAACTTAAATTATCATTTATCATTTTTTGAGTGCCAAGAATTGTTAAGTAACTAACATACATTGAAGAAGAGTCATTCCCCAGCAAGCAAGCAGTCTTCATAAGCCAAACTGTAGGGTGCTTGGTATATAACCACTTTATAGATTATCCACTCGATACTTCTTTTATTCACATAAACCCTCTCAGAAATTGATTAGGACTCCATTAGTGGATTTTTTTCCCCTGATTTTGGTCATGTGAGCGCAATTTTTTTTTTCATTTTATATTTATATGATTTCATTCTGGGAAATGCTGCAAACCCAATTCTGGCACATTGTGATTTCAGTTAATGAAAATGTTATTTTTATTTTAATAACTTTTTAAGATATAGCCTATGCATAAGTTATATGAGAGGGCATAACAAATTATTAGATGAATAGAAATTTATTAATTAAACTCCTTAGACATTTTGAATGAGAAAAAACATCTAAAGGAACTACATTTGTGTTTTTTGCCAAACCGGTACAAGCTAGTAAATGCACTAAGGACTGAGTGACCTGCCTTGTTCATTTTGCCACTGGATGATGTAAGTTAAGAATGGAATTGTTAACCCTCATTATATATTTTCTTGACTTTCATCACTTTCTAAAGAAATCTAATTTAAGTGTTTGGGGTTTTGTTTGACCTGTATTTATTGAGTTCTGGTCATAGACCAGGAGCTGCATGTCATGCTTATGGATGGCCAGAACACAGTCATTGGGATACTTAATGGCTCAAGACCTTCTGAATCATTTAACTTATTTTGTATGTTGCAAAAAAAAAAAAAAGGTTTATTTTGCTTGAGAGTCACATTTTTTATATAACTGTACAGCTTTTAAGGGTTGGGAGGTGGAAAAATACCCTAAAATAGGATGTAGATTTTTACAATTGTGTTTATGCTAGAACATCTACAGGTGCATTATGTAATTAAACCTAAAATTGTTTAAAAATTTGTGCCATGGTCTTTTTCATTTTCCTGCCCTTTAGCAGAGTTGGTGCATGTCAATATTGCTATGTGGACAAGCCTTGGAATTAGGCTAATAACCCTTGTCTCCAAAGCTTTAAGATCATTGCATGAAAATTATACACAAACACATATATACACACACACATATAGACACATACATGTGCACACATGGATCTAGTTTATATTAGTGTAAATGAATTTTCAATTTCGGAACAGTTATAATAGCCTAAATTTGGCAGTTAACAGCATATTATAGTGTGTGATTTTCGTGATGCCTAACTAGGGTATTCTCAATGTTGGTCTAGTGTTTTGTTCTCTTAGCAAAGTAGCTTCTTGATAAGTATCTGAATTGTAGCTTGCCCAAACCTGCCAGGAGGTTTTGCATACAGCTTGAAAGGGAGTGTCCTGTGCTGGGATAGGCGGGGTGGGTTGGGGCAGAGCTTGGTTTCTTTTCAATCTGTAAAAAAACAGAAAACTAGAATTGCTTGATTTGGTTCTTGTTATTCAGTAGACTTAATGCCACAGGAATATTTTTCTGCTGTAAGGGATATGAGATTCAAATTCCAATTCTCTCCACATTTGATGAAAAGTATCTTTAAAGCTTGTAGAGTTGCTGATTCTAGCAGTCTTTTACATGGCACATTTTACCATAACTTATATTAAGACACCAGTATGTTTGCCATCTGATAATCTTACCATTCTAACTCCTCACCTTTATAGCACAAGTGTATTCTTATAAAGAATTAACTTCATCTAAGTGTGTCAAAATTTCTATCTAAACTACCTTAATCTATTGTCAGCTAGTGTGGGATTGTCAATTTCTTTGCTAGCTTCATCCATTCAGAGGAGAAGCCTGGGAATCATGAATTTCCAGGTGAAGAATACAAATTCCAGATAAGAATTTGTAAATGGTATATGTTAAATTTTCATTTTGATTTTAAAGTAAAAGTAGCTGAGATTCAGGGAGTATTTGATCAAAATGCCTCTTGGATTTTCAGACATGCTTATATGAAATGCTTTATTTTCCTATGCATAAAAAAATTATTCCTGGAATAGGTTCTCAGAATGCTTTATTTTGTTTCTAGGAGGAGATGAGAGCTAAAGCAGAAGCTCCAAGATTAGCATAAAACTGTCGAGGTAATCAGGAACGTGCTGTTAGTCAAATAGGGGAAGCTGGAGTGCTCTCTGCCACATATAATGTACTGCATGTGTGTGTGTGTTGGGGGGGAGGTTTGAAAACTGGAAATGTGATTCCAATAATGCACAAAGTAAATTTTGTGCATAGAAAATATGGGAATTCCTGGTAGCTTAAAGCTTCAGGGGTTAACTGCAGTGTATGAACACCTAGTGTGTTAGAATTGCAGTGCATAGTTGTTTAAATATAATATTCCTTGTAAGTGACAACCAAAATATGTTGTGGCTGGTGCCAACATTTTTTGTTAATGAAATGTTCAATGTCTCACTACAGTCTGATCAGAACTCTTGGTGTTATAAGCCAGGCCTGAAGCTATTTTATAGTTACTGGCCTAATTGTGTAACTTTTTCTTTCAAAATGTTTTATTATAATACTTCTGTCATTTCTTTCACTTAATATATGTCAATTGTCATAATAAAAAATTTAAATAATTTCATGTATTTAGCATGATGTGTTTGCAAACTTAGTTTAAACTTCATGGCACATAGAAAGCTAAGAATTTTCAATAATAGTTGATGAAGCCTGAACATTTTGTCATCTAAGCAACAGATGAATTATTCTCTACTGTTTAGAAAGTAAATTTGCAAGTGTATCAATTTCCCCAAAGTAATTATTTTTTTAAGATTTTATTTATTTGACAGAGACACAGAGGGAACACAGCAGAGGGAGTGGAAGAGGGAGAAGCAGGCTCCCCGCTGAGCAGGGAGCCTGCTGTGGGGCTCGATCCCAGGACCCTGGGACCATGACCTGAGCCGAAGGCAGACGCTTAACAACTGAGCCACCCAGACGCTCTTCCCCAAAGTAATTTTAAAAATTTTTAATTTTAGCTCTATGCCAGCTAGGGGAATTACAGGTATTACAAGGCTATCTATTGGGGCACCTGGGTGGCTCAGTCGTTAAGCGTCTGCCTTCGGCTCAGGTCGTGATCCCAGGGTCCTGGGATCAAGCCCCGTGTCGGGCTCCCTGCTCAGCTGGGAAGCCTGCTTCTCCCTCTCCCACTCCCCCTGCTTCTGTTCCCTCTCTCACTGTCTTTCTCTCTGTCAAAAAAAAATAATAAAATCTTAAATAAATAAATAAATTAAATAAATAAAAGGCTATCTATTGGGAGATTTCTCTTTAGCTTCTAGAGAATTGACACATTAAAGATGCCTTGGACTTACTTGTTCGGTGTGGGCCTGTGGGAGCACAGAACTAGACCAGAGGGCACACAAGCCATAAGGCAAAAGCTTTTATTCTATAAAATTTTTTTACAGAGTTCTGTAGTAATAACTTTGGGAGTGAATTCTCACCAATAGGGGATGTTTGGGTTTAGGCTGAATTGCCACTTGGCAGGAGTGTAACAGATCAACACATTTGAAAAGTGGTTAGACCAGATGACTTTAGGGGGCCCTTCCAACAATCCTGAGTATGATTCTTATGTACAAATGCTTACGTATTCTGGGATATAGTAAGATTGACAGTGAACTCTCTCTCTCTCTCTTTTTTTTTTTTTTACCAACAAACTAGTGGAATTCATCACTATTTGCAATTCTGATTTAAAATACTGATTAACTGGGGAGCCTGGGTGGCTCAGTCAGTTGGGTTACCGACTTTTTTTTTTTTTTTAAAGATTTTATTTATTTGAGAGAGAGAGAGAGCAGGGAGCCCGATGCGGGACTCGATCCTGGGACTCCAGGATCATGACCTGAGCCGAAGGCAGTCGCTTAACCAACTGAGCCACCCAGGCGCCCAAATAAATAAAATCTTATTTTTTTTTATTTTTTAAAGATTTTTTATTTATTTATCTGAGAGAGGGAATGAGAGACAGTGAGCACGAGAGGGAAGAGGGCAGAGGGAGAAGCAGACCCCCTGCCGAGCAGGGAGCCCGATGCGGGACTCGATCCTGGGACTCCAGGATCATGACCTGAGCCGAAGGCAGTCGCTTAACCAACTGAGCCACCCAGGCGCCCTGGGTTACTGACTTTTGATTTTGGCTTAGATCATGATCTCAGGGTGGTGAAATCTAGCCCTGCATGGGGCTCTGTGCTCAGTGGGGAGACTGCTTGAGATTCTCTCTCTCCCGGTCCCTCTGCCCCTCCCCCTGCTCACGCTCATGTGCTCTCTCTCTTTCTCTCTAAAATAAATAAATTGGAGCGCCTGGGTGGCTCAGCCAGTTAAGCATCTGACTCTTGATTTCGGCTCAGGTCATAATGTCAGGGTCGTGAGATCGAGGTGAGATGGAGCCCTGCATCGGGCTCCCCAGTCAGCCAGGAGTCTGCTTCTCTCCTCCTGCCTTGTCCCTCCCTGCCCCCCGCAAATAAATAAATAAATAAATAAATAAATAAATAAATAAATAAATAAAATCTTTTAAAGAAAATACTGATTAACTGGGGCACCTGGCTGGCTCAGCAGGTGGAGCATACGACTCTATGATCTCAGGGTCATGGATTTGAGCCCCATATTGGGCATAGAGATTACTTAAAGAAAATACTGATTGACTATTTAGGTAAAGAACTTTTTAAAGCAGAATTTCACTTAATGGAATGAAAGCTGATCTATGCTGGCAAGAAATGACCAGCTACATTTTCTCAGTGGTTTATTTGAAATTTTCACTTAAACGGAATCAGTTAAGTGGAGGTGACAGTGCTGTGGCAGCCTTGAGAGAGTTTAAAGGAATCTTTTCTGGAGCTGAGAGTGACTCCAGAGAATGGCTATCAGCCCACATCTCTTTCAGGTTATGAGACCAGAGGACGTAGAAGAATTCTTTTAAAAACTGAGAATTGGTATACTATACTGGGACCATTTAGTAGAGGTACGATTATAAAACTGGGTGGCTCAGTCGGTTAAGCATCTGCCCTCGGGTCAGGTCATGATCTCAGGGTGCTGGGATTGAGCCCCACGTCGGGCTCCTTGCTCCTCAGGGAGTCTGCTTCTCCCTCTCCCTCTGCCCCGCTGTCTCTCTCTTTCTCTCTCTCAAATAAAGAAATAAAGTCTTTTGAAAAAAATAACGAAAATATTCTACTGAAACTAAACTAAATGTTGGGTGAAATGAATGCTTCTATCATTTTGACTCTTCAATGACTTTGCATGAGTTCCTTAAGTTCCTAAAAGTCTAAATGAAAATCAAAGAAAAAGAACATTCTAAGGGGATATGACTTAATATTTGCAGCATTAATTTAGCACATGAAGTCATATCCCAAATGAAAAGTTAACTAGGAACCTACTAGTTCACAGTATAGGCCACCTATAGCTTCCTTATTCTTCTCCTTGTCCATTTCAGAGCTACT